TTGATTTTGGGGGTCAGTGTATATTCAAAAATAATAAAAGGCGGTATACTTAAAAGCTCAGATGAGGGTTTATTAGCTCAACAAACTACATTGGGTTGGATTATATCAGGGTCACTTTTAAACAAACATTAACCGAATTATTCTCCTTATGGATTTCAGTGCTCCATAGACCATGAATTTCTAGAATTAATGCAACGGTTTTGGAGACAAGAAACTGACATTACCGATGCACCGCGTCTCTCAACCGAAGAACAAGACTGTGAGAATCATTTTAAAGAAACTTATTCTCGTCTTCAAAATGGACAATTTATGGTACGTCTCCCATTCAGCCGATCTCCTAGAGAATTAGGAGAATCTTATATACCTGCTCTTCGAATGTATAACCGATTAGAACAACGTTTCGCAAAAAACCTAACATTTAAATTAGACTATTCGAATTTTATGTCAGAGTACTTGCAACGTGATCACATGAGATTAGCTTCACCAATGTTAATAGATTCGTCTTATTATCTCCCTCATCATGGTGTTGCTCGCGAAAGCAGCTCAACAACTAAATTACGAGTCGTCTTCAATGGGTCTCAAAAAACATCAACAGGGATTTTGTTAAATGACTGCTTACACACGGGTCCGAAATTGCAAATTGAGCTTATTGATGTTCTTGTTCGTTGGCGGCGTCATTCAGTAGTCTTCGCTTGCGATCTTGAAAAAATGTACCGACAAATTAGATTGCATCTCGACGATTGTGCTTACCAGCGAATACTCTAGAGAGAAAATGATTCTGTTCCTATTAAAGCTTATCAATTATCAACCGTCACTTACGGTTTAGCGTGCGCTCCGTATTTGGCGATTCGTTGTTTGCATCAGCTGGCTGACGAGCATGATCAAAGTCAATCGTTAGGTTCAGCAGTTATAAAAAAAGATACTTACGTTGATGATATTTTTTCGGGAGGTGACGATGTCGAAGAAGCTCAAGAGATTATTTTTCAACTAAATCGATTATTAACGGCGGGCGGCTTTATAGCTAGAAAATGGATGTCGAATGATTCGGAGACCCTTGCACACATACCATTGAAGTTAATTTCACCATCATTAACTTGTAATGTAGAAGAAGGCACATCAAGTCGTGCTCTTGGATTATTGTGGAATAATCGCGAAGACGTTTTCATTTTCGAATGTCACTCGAATTGCGAATCTGCGGAGCGAATAACAAAACACTCTTAAACGTCACCTCTTAAACGCGTAACGATCCCTCGCCTCGAGTTGTGCGCGGCCGTGTTACTCACTCGATTAATTAAACGTGTTAAAAGTGCTCTAGACTTTTCAACTCAGCCCATTCATCTTTGGAGTGACTCCGCTGTGGCATTAACTTGGATCTGTAGTAACCCCTCAAAATGGAAGGACTTCGTCCATAACCGAATAGTTGAGATTCAGGACCTATCCAATGCTCAATGGCACCATGTCTCAGGGACTGAAAACCCAGCCGATCTAGTTTCACGGGGCACTTCATCATCAAAATTGCAAAAGGAGTCATTATGGTGGAGAGGCCCAGCTTGGCTCAGTTCATTTTCAACAGCTTGGCCTTCAGTTAAAACACTTACCGGAAATGAAGTCGAAAGAGAAATGAAATCCGTAACTGTTAATCTCGCCTCACAGATAGATGATGGATGGGATTTGAAGAAGAAGTATTCATCGTTAACGAAGCTGATCCGTATCACTTCATGGTGTATAAGATTTTTACGTGTCAATAAAAGTTCTTCTGTTCCAGCTGTTCTGTCTTCTGATGAATTAAATAATGCACTGTTGTTCTGGGTACGAGAAAGCCAGCAGCTCAATTTCTCAGACGAAATCAAACAATTATCCTCTGGTCATGCGGTTCCACGTAGCAGTTCAATTTTTCGATTAATTCCTTTCCTTGATGGAGATGGTTTCCTTCGTGTGACTGGACGTCTCCGATTTGCGAATCTTGATTGGAACGAAAAGCATCCAATCATTCTTTCAAAAAGTTCTACAATCACCAACTTGATTATCGATCATTATCATAAAGCAACCTTTCACGGAGGAACACAACTCACTACAGCGTTTATTCGTCGCCGCTTTTAGATAGTCGGAGGTCGAGTTCCAGTAAGATCGTACATTCATCGATGCATGGTATGTGCAAGGCATCGAAAAGTCGCCAGCCAACAGCTCATGGGTCAGCTCCCTACTCCCCGAGTCACTCCAGCAAGACCATTCTTACATTCAGGAGTGGACTACGCTGGACCATTCCAACTCCGTACTATTAGAGGGCGAGCGGGAAGGGTCTATAAGGGGTATCTAATTTTGTTTATTTGTTTAAGTACCTAAGCATTTAGATATTGCTACTGATTACACCACCGAAGGCTTTTTAGCAGCTTATAAGCGATTCGCCGGAAGACGAGGGATTGCCAAATGCGTATATAGTGATTGTGGTAGTAACTTTGTTGGTGCTGACCGGGAACTTCGTTCATTGTTTTCAAATGCGTCAAAGGAATGGAAGGTCGTAGCCCAAAGTTTGTCAAATGACGGAACCGATTGGAAATTCAACCCTCCGTCAGCACCTCATTTCGGCGGCAAATGGGAAGCGAACATACGAAGCGTCAAAACTCATTTCAAAAAAATGATCGGAAGCTCGACGCTTACTTACGAAGAATTTTCAACTCTATTAATTCAAATAGAGGCTATATTAAACTCACGGCCGCTTTGCTCTCTTCATGATGACCCCGACAATTTCGAAGCATTGACTCCGGCCCATTTCCTGGTTGGAGGCGCGTTAGCTATCATCCCCGAACCGTCACTGTTGGATTTAAAAACGCCTCGTTTATCTCGCTGGCAGCACATCCAGCAAATGGTGAATCAATTCTGAAAGGATTGGAGTCGGTACTACCTACAATCAATACAAAATGCTACCAAATGGCATGAGTCAAAGAATCTACCACGTATTGGGCAATTGGTTGTTTTGCGTGACGAGAGATACCCTCCTGCGAAGTGGCCTTTAGGTCGAATCGAAGCTCTTCATCCGGGACCAGACGGACTTGCAAGAGTCGCCACTATACGAACTTCAACATCATCATTAACTCGCCCGATTGTTAAATTATGTTTATTACCTGATCAATAAGATCAACATTTTGTCGGTGTTTTGTTTATTTTCTTTGTTTGCCTATTATATAGGCAAGGCGGGCGATATGTTTAATTAAATAGAAATATTAATTTTGTTTATCTCATTGTTTTATAGAATATAATGTTTTTAATTCAATTTTCATATTTTAAATTTAAATGCTATTTTATTTTTCATTTGTAAAAAAGAAACTGATTTAAAAGTCACGTTACTCGTTTTATCCCAATTCAATTCAGTTCTTTACATAATTCAGAGTATTTCTTCAACAATTCATAAATGTGTTTGTTAATCGATTCTTATCAAATTGTTAGTTCAGTTAAAGTTCATGCATTAAACAGTTAAAAAACTAATGTAAGTGATACACGGGGTGTTTTTCTTTCGAAATCTTACTTGTGTGCGTGTAAGTACTTTTTTTCAAAACATTCTTTTCTTTATATAATTCAGAAATTTTCTTATACCCGGCAATTGGTATAATTATTAACAGTATTTTTTTTTCTCTTTCTTTTGTATCAGCGTGACAAGGTCGTTGTTCCTGAATTGTCGCCCGGCGGTTGTGCCAAGCGAATAATTAGTAGCTTTCCTTATTTTCGTTTTAATAACTTGTATTTAATGTATGTATTGTTGTTAAACTGCTATGATTTTTTTTTGCTTGTTTGTAGCTTTGCACAATAAACAATTATTTATTTATTTAATAATGTGTATTATAATAAAGCATAACAATAACAAGGTAGGTATCCTGGATATACAAAAAAAGTTAATTTGATAATTATCAAATGACAAACATGACACTACCACTAAAAGCTAGATCTTTTCACCTTACATCAAGGTGCCAAATATCAAATTCATTGTATTTATAGTTTCTCTATAAAATCGTAACTCTCGCAGCCGTGGGAAACCTGAATAAAAAAAAACGTGACGTGTTACAAACAAATGGAATCAGCAACCCAAAATTAACTAAAAACACTCAACTCATCAACTGTACAAAAATCTTGCAGCACAGTGTAATTTCACAAAACCTATACCCAAAAAAGAAATATATTTTACAACCCCTGGCTTTATTACAAAATAGAATACAGCGAAAGAAAGTGTTAAAAATCGTTCAGTACAAATTGAAATATTTATTTATTTATTTATTTCATGTGGGTACAGAAACAGGTCGAACCCAATAATACTGTACCACAAACAACCAATTGTATACAAATAAAATAGAATTACAGTTCACAATAATAATAATAATGAATTAACATNCAAGTACGAATTGAGCGCCGTTCGAGCTGCTTGGCCATTGGTCGTCAACCCGACCTACGGATCGGACGGTCGCCAACCAACCACAACGCCCGGTTGATAGGGTTTTACCCAAGGGCGCCTATTTAAGGCGGCCGGGTCTCCATCAGCGGAAAATTCCAACCGAACTCCGAAGCGACAACAACAGCGACAACGATAACAGCGACAACAGCAGCGACAACAAGCCAGCACTTCAACCGCCAATTCGAAGACGACCCCTTTCGTCTTAAAAAAAACCTTTGAGGGTTAGTAACAGGTTGGCCTCTCACCCGGTGCCCGCTTGACGTTGAGTTTTGGGACACCTGTATATTGTGATGGACACATTTTAATATTCAAAGTTACATAAATTATTGTTGTTATACATATAAGTTGCCAATTAAACAGTTTTATTAAATTATCGAGTTCAAGTAAAGTCCAATGCACCTCGCCATCGGAAGTGTTAAGTTACACTGTGGCCATCGGCGCGTGATTACAATAACGCTAAGCAATAGAATTGTTGGCACTAATGAAATACATAAGTAGTTAATAAGTCTAAGTGAAAAGCATTCGTAGCCACGAACACAATAGACATGTAATAACTAAAATAAATTAGTATTCTTAAACTAAAAAGTGTTTAAATATTGTTGGAAATAAATATATACACCCTAACCACCTGGAGACCCAAATGGGGTCAATGCAATATGCAAAACATATAATGAGTTGCATATTGAGCTTAGGATTGCCGATGTGGCGCGGTTTCGAATGGGGCTTTATGAGGGGCTACTCGAGAGTCAAACTTTGATTATCAATCAGGGATGATATTTGAATGTGTTGGGTGACGCATTCAGTTGGTAGCACTGGTTGGTTATTTGGCGGTCTGGCATTTTTGATTTTTGCTTTTCTATTTTTATTTTTGTTTTCGTTCAATTTTTGATATCTTTACATTAAGTCTATAAAATTTATATATGCTCATTTTTCTTTTTTCTTTTCTCTTACTTGTGTCTGATGTAGATTGGTTTAAGTAATCGGAACGTGAATTAGTGTTAGTTTTATTAGTATTGGTATTATTGAATTTTTTTATTTTGTATACTTTACTTTTTTTTCTCCTTCTTTTGTATCAGGGTGACAATGGCGGTTGTGCGAATAATTAGTAGCTTTCCTTATTTTTGTTTTAATAACTTGTATTTAATGTATGTATTGTTGTTAAACTGCTATGATTTTTTTTTGCTTGTTTGTAGCTTTGCACAATAAACAATTATTTATTTATTTAATAATGTGTATGATAATAAAGCATAACAATAACAAGGTAGGTATCCTGGATATACAAAAAAAGTTAATTTGATAATTATCAAATGACAAACATGACACTACCACTAAAAGCTAGATCTTTTCACCTTACATCAAGGTGCCAAATATCAAATTCATTGTATTTATAGTTTCTCTATAAAATCGTAACTCTCGCAGCCGTGGGAAACCTGAATAAAAAAAAACGTGACGTGTTACAAACAAATGGAATCAGCAACCCAAAATTAACTAAAAACACTCAACTCATCAACTGTACAAAAATCTTGCAGCACAGTGTAATTTCACAAAACCTATACCCAAAAAAGAAATATATTTTACAACCCCTGGCTTTATTACAAAATAGAATACAGCGAAAGAAAGTGTTAAAAATCGTTCAGTACAAATTGAAATATTTATTTATTTATTTATTTCATGTGGGTACAGAAACAGGTCGAACCCAATAATANTTTTGCTGAAGCAAATACATTACTTCATAATTTCCACAGTAACTAGCAATGTCTAAAGGTGTTAATCCCTTATTATTCCTAACATTAACATCGGACGAATTTTCGATAAGTAATTGACCGACTCCTTCATTGTTTATGATTCTAACAGCAAGGTGTAATGCCGTTTCTCCCATATTGTTTTGATCATCAACATTCGCTCCTTCTTTGATTAACATTTTAATCATGTCATCATTGGCACCTTTGGTAGCAATGTGTAAGGGTGTTAAACCCCCATTACTTTTAGTGTTGACAATTGCCCCATTTTCAATTAATAATCGAGCCGACTCAACTAATACGTTATTATTAGCGGTGAAGTTAAAAAAAGGTACCTCTTCGATGATTTCACGACTTGCTTTTTCAACAGCTATATGTAAGGGAGTTTTTCCTTTATGATTTTTAATATTACAATTCGCATTTTTTTCGATTAGCAATTGAATCATTGCAGTGTTTTTATTATTAACGGAGTCGTGTAAAGGCGATGTACCCTCGTAATCCTCATCGTTAACATCCGCACCATTTTCGATTAACAATCGCCCAATATCAATGTTGTTACTATTAGTGGCAAAATGTAAAGGTGTTCTGCCTTTATTAGTTTTAGCATGAACATCCGCTCCATTTTCGATTAACAATTGACCGATTTTAACGTTTCCAATTTCAGCGGCAATGTGTAATGACGTCCTATGGTTAATATCCTTGACGTCAATAATCGCCTTTTTTTTAATTAACAATTGTACAAGTTCAATGTTTATTCTTTTAGTGGCATGGTGTAAAGGCGTTTCACCCTCATTCGACTGAGCATTAACATTCGCCCCATATTCAATTAGTAACTGACTCATTTCTAAACTGTTTCTTACAGCTGCAAAATGTAATGGCGTTTCTCCCTTATTATTTTTAACGTCAACATTAGCGGCATTTTTGAGTAATAATCGACCTAGCTGAATGTTTCCACTGATAGCAACAAAGTGTAGCGGCGTTGAACCTTCATTACACCTAATGTTAACATCTCCGTATTCGACTAGCAGTTGACCAACTTCATTACTTGCTGTTTCTGCGGCAATGTGCAGAGCCGTTTTTCCTTTGTTATCAACTATATGATTCGCTTTTTTTTCGATTAGTAATTTAGCCAATTCAACGTTTTTACTAATAGTAGCAAAATATAAAGGTGTTAATCCATCATTACTTTTAGCATTAACATCCGCCCCTCTCTCGATTAGCAATGTACCTAATTCAATATGTCTATTACTTGCGGCTAAATGTAAAGGTGTTACTGCGTTATAATTTTTGGCGTTAATATCCGCCTTATTTTCGATTAGTAACCCACTTAATTCGAGATTTCCCTTTTCAGTAGCATAATGTAAGGGAGTGCTTCCTTCATTGTCTTTAGCGTTAACATTTGCCGAATTTTTGATTAATAATTGAGCCAAACCAAGATCTGTGCTGTTCGCGGCAAAGTGTAAAGGCGTTACTCCCTCATTGCTCGTAGCTTTAACATTTGCTTTATTTTCAATTAAAAGTTGAGCGATTTCAAGGTGTTTTCTTTCTACAGAAATATGTAAAGCTGTTTTTCCTTCGTTATTTTTTTCGTTAACATGTAAATCATATTTGAATAGCAATTGGATTAACTCAATGTTTTTCCTGTTCACAGCAGCAATGTGTAAAGGTGTTTCACCCTCATTATTTTTAGCATTAATATCGGCCATGTTCATAATTAAAAGTTTTGCGATCTTAAAATTTATTGTTTCGGCAGCAATATGTAAAGGGGTTACTCCTTTATTATTTTTATCATGAACATTCGCTCCCATATCAATTAACAACCGGATAAATTCTAGAATCGTTTGTTCGGTGCAAAACTCGTTTACACTCTTCTTAATGGCAATGCATAAAGGTGTTAAACCTTCATTATTCTTAACGTTAAGAAGAGCGCCATTTCGCATTAGCAATTTACCGATTTCTATGTTTGTTCCTTCGGTAGCAATGTGTAAGGGCGTTTGTTTATTAATATCCTTAGCATTTACTTCCGCATAAGATTCTATTAAAAATTGAACCAATTCTTTATTCGTAGTGTTGCTGGCATTATGTAAAGGTGTTACATTTTCATTAGTCTTGGCGTTTACATCCGCTCGATAGTCGGTTAATAATTTACTGATTTCTAGATCTGCCCTTTTTGCAGCAATATGTAAAGCCGTTTCTCCCTTATTATTTTTACCCTCAACATCAATGTACAATACTAGTAATCGACATAATTCAATGTGTTTTCTTTCAGTGGCTACGTGTAAAACTGTATCTCCCTTATTATTTCTCATGTTCATTTGAGCTCCCATTTTGATTAGTAACTTGGCCAATTCAATATTATTATTATAACTGGCAATGTGTAGGGGAGTTTGCCCATAATTGTCCACTTCGTTAATAAAGGCGCCCTTTTCGATTAGCAATCTAATGGTTTCAAGATTAGATTGTACGTTACCTGCTTTATGTAAGGGTGTTATTCCCGCCTTATTTTTAACATTTACGTTAGCACCATTTTCAATCAACAATTGAGCGAAATTTTTGGTATCATTTGTAATCAAATGCAAGGCAGAATTGCCATTGTTATCGATAATTGTTACGTCACAATTATGTTGGAGTAAACAAAATATTATTTCGAAGGAAGCTTTGTACCTGAGAGAGTACATTAATGGAGTTTCTCCAAATCGACTTCGAATGTTAACTATAGATTTGCTTAGAGATAATAAATATTTTAACGAATTTAAACTAAAAAATAACAAAAAACATTCATTAATAGTGGATTATTTGAGCCAATTCTTTTATTCTAACCTTCCATAGCGAGCAGCTAAATGTACGCAAGTCACATCACCAAAAGTATTTTCCAAAATTATTTTGCGATAATCCCCATTGAAGTAATTTTTGATCTCATCAACGACATCATCACGAATAGCTCGGTATAAAGATGATTCTGTTATCGAAGATAGGTGCGGGTCATTATCAAATAAATCTGCCTAAATAAGGCGTTAAATAATTTTGATTTGATTGTTCACTTTCTAATTTTATTACTTACAATTGTGCTGTCTATGAAGCTACTATCACCGTTTTCACTCATTTTAAGTCACCTTTAAGTTAGAAAAATATAATTGTTATAGTTTGAAATTGAATTATTAACTAAATTAAATTTGGAAAATGCATGTTTAAATGTGCGACCCTATCAAGTGTTGTGGTGAATCGAGAACATTCGTAATGAAAATAACTAATATGTATCGAAAACATCCTGTTTTTTCAGGAAAAATTTATTTTATCATTTTTGGTGGTTAGAAATATCTAGAACAATGATTTTCTTTTAGCGTAAAAAACTAAAAATAATAGTCGTATATATAAACAATAATATTTGATTGAATTTTGATTTTTATAAATCACTAATTGTACTTTTATACTGGTTTATTATAAGTAAATCCGCTTTACATGTTTCGACTAATTAGTCATCTTCAGAAGCGCTACAAATTGACAACAAGAATGATAATAAAAGTTGTTACAAATATGAAATGAAATAAACTTACTTGTCGTAATATAAGAAACGGCGTTCAAAAAACTTCGCATAAAGTATAAGTCGTAAATAAGGTCAGCACATCAAAAACGGTGATATTCAAAACAATTATTGTAAATATTAAATTTTAAAAAACTATAGAACTAACATGTTAAAATGTAAATGTAAAGTTTAAGAATTAAAATTAAAAACGACGTTACATGCAAAGTTACAAAATAAAATGGTTGAGAAATTGCAAGAGGTAACCACTTTTGATGAGTTCGGGAAACCAGAAATAAAATGTATAAATGCGCATGTGTTGAAAATAAAATAAAATAAAATTACATAGAGGGTGTTCAGATGAAACAAATCCCTTCTACGAGTATAATTGTCTGCGAGGTAACAACTCTAAAATTTGTTTTTTAAAAAATGTATGTAATGTATATAATTTGTATTTTGTAGTTAATATTTCCAGGCGTTGAAAAGTAAGGTAAGGGAAGGGGATAATAAAATTTGGATTTTTAAATTAATAGAAAAATATAGGATAGGGAATACAAGGATAATAATAATAATAATAATAAATAAATTTATTGCCATAATAAGAAACAAAAAATACAAATTAAAGAAAATGTATACATTTAACTTAATACATAAATACGGGCAAAAGGGTCGATTTATCGCGTAAGCGATATCTTCCAAACAACCCAATCAATCAGCNTTTGTTTAACTTGTCCTCTTGATATTTCCGCTATTCTGAATGCTTCTACCGCTTCTTGTAATGTTACATTTCCCATTTTCATTAATCGGTCCTTAGTGTCCCTATCATTTGATTGTAAAACTATTTTATCTCTTAATGCTTCTTCTTCGTTAGTATACTCGCAATTTTTAACTAATGTTTTTACTTCTGTTAAAAACCCGTGAAAGGACTCACCCTCTTGCTGAGTTCGAGATTGAAAAACATGTCTTGCGTATAAAATATTTTTCTTGGGATTACAATTATGTTAAAGATAAAAGTATTGAACAGCACATTGAGGCGTCAGCAGTTGAATTAACAGGCAGGAAGATGATAATCCTGTCCATCTATAGGTCTCC